CTCTTTCCTGGGTTTATGGTTTGTTGGGGTGCTGTACCTGGCCAGCCCTTTCTCCCTTGCAGTCTAAGAGCCACTGCCTAGCATCTATTCTGAAAGCTTAATAAACTTTAGCTTTCAGAATTTACAATTGCTTTTTGTGAGACACAGTCAGAAGCACATTTGATTTCATCTTGTTTGGCTGCACCTGGCAGAGCTGGTGCTCAGTTTGGATTGGCTTTAAGATTTTTAGACAAACAGCATCTGTCTGCTTTTGTGTGGCTTTTATGTTTATGGTTTCTAATTTATTTATGTTTGATTTCAGTTTTTAAGGAGGAAATTTTGGAAAAAGGTAAGATTTTGTTCTCCTTTGCCCTTTCTGTTTATTTTGTCCTTATTTTCTATTTTTTTAAACAGATTCTCTTTCTCCAATAATATCAGTCCAGTCGAGGTCAAACCTGGCACATGGCAAATTTAACCAAACAGTTCTCCTACTGGATTACCAGAGTACATGGCCAATAAAAATTCATTGCCCTTTCATGTGTAGACACATATTCACCACTTGACATGCACCCTCATCTCAGCTTTTCCATCTTCATTATTTTTCTTCAGAGTGACTCACTCATACAGAAGAGCCCTCAGATGCAGAGTAGAACGATTAACGAGAGTGGCTGGCGATTATTAAATTAGTGTGTATGATCTTGTTAAATGATGAACTGTTATTAGTCCTATCCATAAACTTACATATCCACAGATAATGCCAGCAGATACACTATGAGTTATAGGCTGCGATTGATTCAAAGGATGTCATATTTAAAATCTGATATATAATCTTCTAGCAATAAAACATCTGTAGATTATAAAGTATATTTAAAAGATGAAGTTTAAGTAACACAGCGCAGCTGATGTAGATTCATATGGTTCATGTTAAAACCTGTGACATGACTAATTATTTTTTGGTTTGGAGCTGCACAATGTCCCATTTTTAACTTTTGTCAGCAAAGCAAATCACTGTAACGCTTTGTTCGACTCGAGTGAGAAGTCAATCGACAGGATACTAATTATGGACAAGTTTCTTCTGAGTAGAAATAGTCTTTCAGTGGATTCCTTTAGATTAGTTCTCTCTCTCTCTCTGTGTATATGTGTGTGTCAGTCGTACAGCTGAAGAGTGCTACTGTCTGTTTTCAGGTGCTCGGGATGATTCAGAGGACCAGGCGAAACTCATAGTGGGTGTCGTGGCAGGGCTTCTCATAGCTGCTGCCATATTGGGACTCATCTACTGGCTCTACATGAAGAATTCAAGGTAGAGAAACACACACTAGAATGCACGCTGGTATGCATTTACATTTCAAATCCCTTAAATTTTAAGTCCTGTTGCTGTTGTCTTGGTAACTGACACTGCATCACCCACAGAAAGAAACTAGACTTTATACCCTAAAGAGAGAATTAGAAATAATAATCCACAGGAGGGTGGTCGAGTGCAGCCGCAGTACTGTAGAGTGAACAAACACTCCTGTCTGCCATAAAATAATCCCATATATCAAAGAAATGCTATTGCAGCAGCTGAGGATGATCTAGCCGCCTGGAGGTTTTCAGAGCGGATGTGCACCCAGAGGAGCGTGCGGGGATGTGACCTGTATATTGCTGTAGAGTGACTGACTGTGCTGTCTGAAGCAGGGTGTGAAGGTCAGTCTGTAGCAGAAGTGCATCACACCTTTGCGATTCTGTATGCACAACAGGCAAGGAAGCTGGAAAACTGGTGAGAAGGAGACGGGAACATCTGAAGAGAGCAAGAAACTAGAAGAGAACAATCACACTGTTTAAAAGGCGACGGGCCGTACCACGTGGGATGAAATAGGTAAGAATGTCAGGTTTACACACAATCACAGGTAGAGGTCTAGTCAGGTCACACTTCAGTTCAAGTGCCAGTTTTAACTGTTTAAGAGCTGAGGTGAAAAATAACATCCCATTTTGTGTGTGTGTGTGTGTGTGTGTGTGTGTAAAATAGTGATAGGCTATCTCATTTTTGCAGTTTTAAATTTATGTCATGTATTTAACTTGACTATGAAAGCAGAAAAAACGAGACGTTGCACAAGATGGCTACCAGTAATTTTGATGGTTACAAGGTTATCATATTTGATGGCCAAAGTTAAACAAAAAAGATCTAGGTTCTAGTTTTTAATGAACTGGAATTATCTTTTGAGTTGAATCTAAATTTGAAAGAATTAATATGTGTAGGGTTTATTTCTGGGTATCATAGAGTATGTGAAATGTTAATGACTGTAGTTTTCTACATGTCTCTGTGGGGAAGGAGCAGTTGAAAGCAGTTTTGCCACATCAGAAAGCCACATCCCAGCTGCTGTTGACACATCCATCAGGCATCATCGACTCCTGCCCACTGCCCGCTGCCCCACCTCGCTGTTCACAGCCTGCACTGAGGCTGCCTCGTGTTACCGTCACTTCTGTTTTTGTGCTTCTGGTGAATGCTCCCTGTTTGGTTTTGTTAAAGTGATTCCAGTGTGGCGGGGGGCTTGCCACTTACTTTTTTTCCTTTACTGTGGTTTTGAATTCCATCAAAGAATGTAAATTCCTTGTACAGGTTTTGAGGCCTGTATAGTGAATCATACGTATGTGTGTGCCCTGGATGAGCATGCCAATGTTTCGTTTTATTTGTTATTTTTACTTTTGTGTGCACTATGTGTGCAGAAGCCATTTGGCTGTGCTCAGTAAAAAAGATACTTCACTGCTGTATGACCTTACTGAAACTGTCCTCAAACAATGATAAGCTCAGCATCTCTCAATTCCTTTATGTTGCAAATAATTTTATATGAAAAATCATCTAAAAAATTCAACAATGTTAAAAAATGCAAACTGTTCTGCTATGATGCATTTTTTTCCATTTGTAATTTAGTTTAATACACTACATTCTTCTGTCTTGTCTACAGTTTCTGCACCATCCTCTCAAGGTTGAGACCATTGTTTCTCGGTAGATTTAGTGTTTTAATGTTTCCTATTTTGTGCTTTTGTTTTATTTTACATTGTTATTTTAACTTTATTGATCCCAGATCTGAAAGCTCCTGGGGTGGGGTGGGGGGGTGTATTTATTTTCACTGTGCACTGTGCACTCACTCTGTCTAAATAGCTGTTCAGCAGCATACAAGATATTAATTTAAGCCTGAATGGAAGGCATTGGTTAAGTGTTCTTAAGGTACTGCATGGTATGGTAGGAGAGTTAGGCCAAACAGTAGCTGCACTCATTCTCTGCTGTGCTATTATTATTATTATGCTATTCGTACCTCAGTAGTGTGAAGGAAAAGCCAAACTGAAGACAGTGGTTGAGACTGATGAGGTGCATAAAGGTGGTGGCTCTCTGGGCTTCTGTCATTTTGCTTTGGTTCACCTCACAATGAAAGTACAAAGTAATTTTAACATTTTCAAGAGAATGGTGAAATTGTTTGGTGTCCATAGCATACAAAATGTTAACTTGAAGGAACCATGCACCATTTGCCATTATCTCACTGTTTTGAAACAATGTGTAGATGTTAGCCATATAGCACACTTTTCTGCCCAAATAATACTGGTTTATGTAGTGAAATGGTTGCCAAACCAGATGACATGAAAGCAGAGGGCCATCATTTTTACACATTTAGTTCATTGTTTGTTCTCATGCCTTCTGCTCATTTTCAAATAATCAGGGCAGCGGTGAAAGCAAAGACGGTTAGATGAGGCCATAGCAGTGTTGTAAATACAGACTTTTGTTTTTGTACTGCTGTTGACAGTAAAGTGTACATTTTCACAAATGTATGGTATGTCCAAGTTTTTCATCAACACTCACTTTTTCCTTCACTGAATTATTGCACTGTGGAGCCACTGAACATGGAAACCTGGTACAAATACAATTACAAATATTCCGTGCTTATTTGTACACACAGGTACACAGTGGTATATAGTTTAGAGAGTTGCCAGCCCGGGACCATGTGAGAGGCAGGAGGACAACTGAGATTTGTGTAGGAAGAGATGAGCTTCATCATCACTGTGGTTTCAGTTTCCTGCTAGTTCAGAGATCCACTCATTTCTTGAAGCCCCTTTCATACATGTTTCTAATTATTTTTTCCAGGAAGTTTCGCGGCGAGTTGAGTTGATGCCAAAGACCTCGATTTTGGTCTCATCTGACCACAACACTTTGGTCCAGTCTTCCTCTGAATCAGTCAGATGTTCAGTGGCAAACTTCAAACGGGCCTGTAAATGTGCTTTCTTGAGCAGGGGGACCTTGCAGGCACAGCAGGATTTCAGTCCTTCACGGGGTATTGTGTTACCAACTGTTTTTTTGGTGACTATGGTCCCAGCTGCCTTGAAATTATTGACAAGTTCCCCCCAGAGTAGTTCTGGGCTGATTCCTCACGGTTCTCATTATCATTAAAACTCCATGAGGTGAGATCTTGCATGGAGCTCCAGACCGAGGGAGATTGGCAGTTAATTTATGTTTCTTCCATTTGTGAATAATCGCACCAACTGTTATCACCTTCTCACCCAGCTGCTTGGCGATGGTCTTGTAGCCCATTCCAGCCTTGTGTAGGTCCACAATCTTGTCCCCCTCTTTTTCGGCCAAAACAAAATCTAGAGCCAAGCGGTTCTGATATGACATGATACAGTGCCTTGCGAAAGTATTCGGCCCCCTTGAACTTTGCGACCTTTTGCCACATTTCAGGCTTCAAACATAAAGATATAAAACTGTAATTTTTTGTGAAGAATCAACAAGTGGGACACAATCATGAAGTGGAACGAAATTTATTGGATATTTCAAACTTTTTTAACAAATAAAAAACTGAAAAATTGGGCGTGCAAAATTATTCAAATCCACATAAGGGATGACGGCAACATTCATAGATCCTGGAATGCACAATGAGGGGCAATGTTCATTCCTATTACAGAGGCCCACTGAAATTTTTTTGAGGAAAAGCTGTGTTAGACTGCATATTGTTTATAGTAAAGTATTTTTATATACAAATATAAAAATGAAAATGTTTCTGGAGTGGGACTTTAATTAATTATAGAAGTTGTGCAGAAGCTGCCCATAGCTCTACACAGTGATCCATGTGTGTACTGTATGTGTTTCTATGCTGCTCCAAATGAGTCTGTTCTGGTTCAACTTGTCTTATTAAATGAGCTTAAAAATAAAGTGACACCTTAGTTATAAAACACTGAGCAGGCTGTAACACACAAGAGTGTGT